ATTCCCAGTCCAGCCAGTCCATCCTAATCCAGCCAGTCCATCCCAGTCCAGCCAGTCCATCCCTCCATGGTGGCTCAGACATTCCCAGTCCAGCCAGTCCATCCCAGTCCAGCCAGTCCATCCCTCCACCCTCCACGGTGGCTCAGAAATACCCAGTCCAGCCAGTCCATCCCAGTTCAGCCAGTCCATCCCTCCATGGTGGCCAAGACGTGGAGAAGGGGGTGGTGCAAAACCTTGGCCCAAATTTTCCAGCTGGTTCTGCTCCAGGCTTGAAAAATCCTGGGAAACACCCGTGTCCGATGGAGTGAAGGAGGATTCCAACCCCCCCTCTGAGCTGCCAGGGATTTTTCCAGGATTAATAATCCCAGATATGGGATTATCCCCCTTCCTCTGAGCTTTCCTTCTTGCTCCTCGTGGAATTAACGACTTAATGTTTATTAATGTTTATTAAAGGGAGAACCTGGTCCACCGGGCAGAGGAGTGGAAATGGAGGTAAATCCAACCAAAATTATGGAAACAATTCCCTGTCTGGGGTTGGGGTGGCAGAGGGGACCCGGTGCCCCCATAGGATCCCCTTCCTGGGCTGGTGGAAAAAGGGGGGAGAAGTTCTGACCCTTCTTTCCTCTTCCAGGACCTGGAGAAGCTCTTGGAATCCCACGGGATCAAGGTGGGTGATGCTTTGAACTTCCTGCCGAGGGGATTGGAATTGAGCTTTTCCAGCTGTTCCCTGAGGCCCAGAGAGACTTGGAGCTTCGAGTCATCCAATTCCAACCCCACACCTCCCACTCTCCCAGGTTGCTCCAACCTGGCCTTGGGCACTTCCAGGGATCCAGGGGCAGCCACAGCTTCTCTGGGAAATCCATTCCAGCCCCTCCCCACCCTCCCAGTCAGCAATTCCTTCCCAATATCCCACCTATCCCTGCCCTCTGGCAGTGGGAAGCCATTCCCTGTGTCCTGTCCCTCCACCTCTTGTCCCCAGTCCCTCTCCAGCTCTCCTGGAGCCCTTTTGGGCCCTGGAAGGAGCTCTGAGAACTCTGTGGCCCCATTTGGAACTGGAATTTGGGAATGCCAGGAGCATCCAGAGCTTTGTTTTTCCTCCTGTATCCAGCATTTCCCTTGGCTGGGAATGATTAAGCTTGAGAGAGACCTGGAAGCACAGGGGATGGATCCTAAACCTCCTAATTTCTTGGAATCATGGAATGGTTTGGGTGGGAAGAGGCCTTAAAGCCCATCCAGTGCCACTCCCTGCCATGGACAAGACATTTTCCACTATCCCAGATGGCTCCAACCTGACCTTGGACACTCCCAGGGATCCAGGTGTAGCTTCCAACACATCCCTGGAGGACACCAGGGCTCAGAGATGGAGGGACTGGGATGGACATTGAGTCCTGGGGGAGCTTCCAACATATCCCTGGAGGATACCAGGGCTCAGAGATGGAGGGATTTGGATGGACATTGAATCCTGGGGTTGCTTCCAACACTTCCTTGGAGGACACCAGGGCTGGGACATGGAGGGACTGGGATGGACATTGGGCTGGCTGCCCTCACAGGGCGATGTGGGAAGAACAGGAGGGTGGCACTGGGCCTGACTGGTGTGCACTGGGCCTGACTGGTGTGCACTGGGTCTTACTGGTGTGCACTGGTCCCAGCTGTCCCTGCTGAAGGAACTCTCGGACGCATTTCTGCGGGATGGGCCAGGCGGGCTCCGGTGGCAGTTGGGGACATCCAGGACGAGCCAGAGCTCCGGGAAGGGCCAGGCAGGCCTGGCTGGCACCAGCCACGGTGTGAGTACCATCATCTGCCTCCCTCAGGGACGGACAGATCCCCCCAGGAACGGGAGAGGGACGGAAATGAGGCGTCAGAGGCTTCAGGGTCACCTCAGTCACCACGAGGCCCAGGGGACAGTGGCACTTGGAGCCACTGTCATCCAATTCCAACCCCGACACCTTCCAATAGCCCAGGTTGCTCCAACCCGGCCTTGGACACTTCCAGGGATCCAGGGGCAGCCACAGCTTCTCTGGGAAATCCATTCCAGCCCCTCCCCACCCTCCCAGACAGCAATTCCTTCCCAATATCCCATCTCTCCCTGCCCTCTGGCACTGGGAAGCCATTCCCTGTGTCCTGTCCTTCCATCCCTTGTCCCCAGCTCTCCTGGAGCCCCTTTAGGCCCTGCAAGGGGCTCCAAGGACTCTGTGGCTCCATTTGGAACTGGAATTTGGGGGTGGGCTGTGCCAGGAGAATCCAGAGCTTTGTTTGTCCATCTGTATCCAGCATTTCCCTTGGCTGGGAACAGTTAAACTGGAGAGAGACCTGGAAGCACAGAGGATGGAACCTGGGAAATCCATCCCAGCCCTTCCCCACCCTCCCAGCCAAAAACTCCTTCCCAACATCCCACCTAAACCTCTCCCCTTTCAGTTTTAACCCCCTGGAGAAAGTTGGGCTGGAAGAGACTCCCGGCCGTCCCGAGGATCCGGGATCTTCGGAAAAGCCAGAGGGATCCCAGGGAGGGTTGGTTTTGCCTGGAAGGAAGGGTTTGGACGTGGCCAGCGAGGAATTGTTGACTTCTCAGTCCTTTCTGTTTGAGAAAAGGCCACCAGGTTGGACAGAACACGCTGGAAGAGTGGGAAAGCAGTTGGGAATAATCCATTGGGATCCAGGTCATCAAATGTGGGAATCCTGCCAGCTCAGGTTGGTGCTGGCCACACCAACCCCCTTCTTTTGGTGTCTCAGGATCCCCCAGGATTGGATCCTTCTCCCAGTGTCCTGGGCAGCCCCGAGGAGCCAGGAGAAGCCCAGAGCCTGGAGCTGGAGCCTCTGGAGTTGCCGGTGTCTGGAGGAGTCTCCAAGGTGAGGATAAACAGCGGGACACACGGAGAGATGAAGGGTTGGGGTTTTTTAATGTGTCCCTCAATTCAGGAAGGGAAGGGGGCTGGGAAGGGGCTGGAGAAATCCTGAGGGAGCTGGAGGAGCTCAGCCTGGAGAAAAGGAGGCTCAGGGGGGACCTTCTGGCTCCCTAAAATTCTGTGGAAGGAGGTTGGAGCCAGGGGGGTCGGGCTCTGCTCCCGGGGAACAAGGGACAGGAGGAGAGGGAAGAGCCTCAAGCTGTGCCAGGGGCGGGTCAGGTTGGATATTAGGGAAAATTTCCTCATGGGAAGGGTGATGAGGCCTTGGCAGGGGCTGCCCAGGGAGGTTTGGAGTCCCCACCCTGGAGGTGCCCAAGGAAGGCCTGGCCGTGGCACTCAGTGCTCTGGGCTGGGGGAAAAGGTGGGCACTGGGCCCAGGGTGGATCCATGGGCTGGGAGGGCTTTTCCAACCTAAATGATTCTGGGATTCTTGGATTCTATGATTCTGTGAACCATGGAGAGTGGAAAGTGGTCTTTGGACTTTGAGGGTTTGACCTCAAACTGCTTATTTTCCAACCTGCAACATTTTCACAACTTGAGTTCCCTGAATCCCATTTGCCACCTTCCTAAGGGGACAACAGGACAGGACAAGAGGGAAGGGCCTCAAGCTGTGCTAGGGGAAGTTCAAATTGGGTATTAGGGAAAATTTCCTCATGATAGGGTGGTGAGGCCTTGGCAGGGGCTGCCCAGAGAGGTTTGGAGTGCCCATCCCTGGAGGTGCCCAAGGAAGGCCTGGCTGTGGCACTCAGTGCTCTGGGCTGGGGGATAAGGTGGGCATTGGGCACAGGGGGAATTCTGTGATCTCAGAGGTCTTTTTCAGCTCAAATAATTCTGGGAATTGTCTCTGCTGCCCTGGCAGGGATGGATCTGATCCTGCTGTGGGGATGGATTGAGATTGTCCAACAGAGGAGTCCATGCTGGGACTGCCAGAGCTCCAGGAGTGTCTGGACAACGCTCTCAGGAATGGGGTGGGATTGTTGGAGTGTCTTTGCAGGATGATCCTTTGGGGTCCCTTCCAACTCAGGATATCCCAGGATTCCAGAGCTTGAGCAACCAGACCAATTCCCAGAGATAATCAAATCACCTGCAACTGGAATTAAGATAATCAAGTCCTCTGCAAACGCAATTAACACCTCATTTTTATGGGAATTAGGAATTTATTAAGTCAAGGCTTCATCTCCACGCTGGGCCCGAATTCCAGGCACAGCTCCAGGAGTGCCATCAGAGGGCTGTATCCAGGTCACCTCCCAGAGCTGCAGGAGGATCTTCATGGATCTTAATCCAGGAGGATCTCCATGGATCTTAATCCAGGAGGATCTTCGTGGATTTTAATCTGTCCCTTCTGGACAGGCCTGACGAGGGATATCCCAGGAAAAAGCCCCTGGAGCTGTGGTGGGGCTTTTCTCATCCTCTTTTTAGGGCATCCAAGAAGTGTCTCCACTTTCCAAAAACCCTTCCTGGCAGGAAATGTTGTCTCTCCAACTGGAGCCCAAGAGCTTGTGGGATATTTGGGATATTTGGAACCACAGGGATGTTTGGAAGCATCTCCTGACGGGTTTATCTCCCTCCTTTCGCTATCCCAGGTCGTTCCAAACCCCATCCAACCTGACCTTGGACACTTCCAGGGAGGTGGAGACACAAGAATAGATCTTTTTAACCTTTCCACAACCCAAGAGATGGGTTAGAAACCCAGGAAAAAAAAATTCCCTGCTTTTAATTACAGATTCACGGAATAATTAAGGAGATGCCGACACGCAGAATCCGGAAATCTTATTTTAAAAGGGATTTTGGAAAGGGAAAAAGGGGTTGGGAGTTGACCAGAAAGGTGGGATGTGCCTATGGATTGATGATTTGATCCTCATGGACTGAGCTTTGAGTGACCTGCCCTCTCCACCTGCATTGTATCCATTCGTTTTCCCAACCTTTTAAGGTGGAATCTGGGATAATGCCAGGCTTGGGAGATCACTTGGCACACGCTCCAGAATTACTGATTTTCATCATTTTCCATCCAGAATTTTGGCCCAAAAAAAAGCAGGAATTCCATGTTGGTCTCCACAGGGTCCACCTGCTGGTGATTCTGAACCCGGGCACCAGTTCCTGGGAAAGTCTCCTGAATCCTTGGAGAAAACACCCGAGGAAAGACAAGAGGAGAGAGGCTCAAGAGGGACAAACTCTTCTCTCCTCGGGGTAAGGAAATTCCTGGTCAGGGACTTAAAATTCCTTTTCCATTTAAGCTGATTCTGATTTTATTGGAATTTCGTTGCGATCCAGAGTTTTGCCCCCCTTTTCCTGCTCAGGTTGGAGAAGGGATAAGGATCAGTGGCAGAGCTTGGGAAAGGGCCTCGCCGTCCCTCCTCTGCTCTGGGAATTCATGGAATTCTGCTGTCACTTGTCACCCTCTGCAGGCCTTGGCTGTGCCCCCAAAACCCCCAGGGGATGATCTACAAGGAAACCAGACCCTGGAGCTTCCCGAGCCCTTGGAGAAGAGGGAGGAACCACAACCACAGTTGGAGGCCAGCCAGGTATGTGTGTCCTGGGATTCCTGGGCAGTGTGGGGATGAGGGAGGGACTGGGAGGGACTGGGATGGACTTTGATTCCTGAGGGAGCTTCCAACAGATCCCTGGAGGACACCAGGGCTGGGACAAGAAAGGAACTGGGATGGACACTGAGGGACTGGGATGGACATTGAGTCCTAGGACTGCTTCCAAAAGATCCCTGGAGGACACCAGGGCTTGGACATGGAGGGACTGGGATGG